ATATATATATATATATATATATATATATATATATATATATATATTATTTTTATATGAAACATATCTTGTTGAGCTCGGACATATTAGCTTTTTAGTTGAGCCGAACTTGAGCTCAAGTCTCTAGCTCGAATAGAGCTCAAGCCTCATGGTTTTTTTTTTTTTTTTTGGTAAACCAAGCTCGAATAGCCAAATATTCAGCTTGTTTTGGCTTGAATCCACCCATGGTTTGGGCTGGGCTTAGGCCTTAAGCTCAATTTTTAGGGCTGGGCTAGGTTGAGCTTAAGGCCCCATTCATTTATCCATGTTCTTTTATTTCCCAGGTAAAATGCCATTATTTAAAAAGACCGTTTTAGCCATAAAATGCCATTATTAGAAAAGACAATTTTGTCCCATTCAAGTATTAGCAACTTCCCCTGTGAAAAAGTTAATTACCCACTTGAGAGACATGAATTACTTACTGGTAAATGATACCCAAGGAAAATAAATTTTCCATAGACATCACATAAATCTGAAAAAAAAAGAACATGGATTTCTTTGACTAATAGGATTCCCATTGACTAACTTTCCCCCTCTCAAAACCCAACGACCCTAAATCCAACCCAATTCGCTCGACTTACACCCTACTTACATTCTTCCATGTCAACGGTTTGATCAGCCATGTGAGACCACGGGTGACTCACCCACAGTTTAATTCTTCATTACTCCATTGGGCTGTGTTTGATTGCAATGCAAAAATTTGCCCGCAAAACCATGGCAATGCAAATGATTTGAGTATAAATTCTGACATGTTTTTGTTTCAAATTTTAGCTTATTTTGTTTGATTGCAGTACAAATGAAGGAAGTTAAGACATGAAACAGAATAAAGTAAAATCTAAAACAAAATTAAACAAGAATTTGCATTTTTTACATTTGCACTTCCGTGTATTTGTACTAATGCAAATAAATTTGCACTGCAACCAAACACAGCCTTGAGTCCATAATTCCATTCAAAACCACTGTGCTGTGTTTGGTTTGATAGAAAATAATTTTCACTCTTATTTTCTGTCAAACCAAACACAGAGGAACGCACTTCCCAACTCCTACACAGCCCCTGTGCCCTTGCATGATCATAGTGGAGCGTAATCGAAGTGGATGTAGCCGAGAAGTAACTTTTCCGATGTCCCCACGGAGGAGGGAGAAATATCTAAATCATAAAAGCATCGAGAGGGTCCGTATTCAGTATTCTCCGTTAGGGCGATGTCACTCCTAAATCAACTCTTCAACAGAGGCCTTCTTGGCGCAAAATGGTTAGTTGAGATCCTTCTGCACCTCTTATATTCTTCGGTTTTGACTCATCTCGTTGATTTGCTTTGTTTTTCTTTTCTTTTCTTTTCTTTTTTTTTTTTTCAATTCCCTTCTTGTTGTCCCACCCCCACCCCCAGCTCAATTGTTAGGGCAGATCCCTTCAGCTCAATTGGGATAGTTGTCTTTTGACATGTTAATGATTTATTTTGGTTTGGGGATTCATAAAGTTTGTCTCTTCATTATATTTCTCTATTTTTGGTGGTCAACTTGTGCACCAAGTTCGGACCTCCATATAGATGTAGCAACTGTGTTGCTGCTCTCATCGTTTCTTTTCAACCTTATAGAGATTCCAGTTATTCGTTTATGGATTTCGGCAAGTGGGTTTTATTGAACTGTCAATCTTCTGGCAAGACTCAATACTTTTCCCGGTTCTGTCGTTGTTTTGTTTGTACGAATGGTACCAGTGTTTTTTCTAGTAGCTGAATTTCCCTCTTCTTCTTATATGTAAATATGAAATTCTGAGGTCCATTGTTCTTGTTATAGCAAAACATGCTTAAACTTGGCTATATCACGTATCAAACTGCTGCAAAACAAGAGAGATGTACAACTGAAACAGATGCGCAAGGAGATAGCACAATTCCTCCAGACTGGACAAGAAGCCATAGCTCGAATCCGGGTATCAGTATAAAGTTTAGAGTTATTTAGCATCCCCTGATTGGCTATTCTTATTGGTATTCTTATAGTTTCATTTCTTAACGTTCATGTATATTTGTTAGGTGGAGCATGTCATACGGGAACAGAACATATGGGCTGCATACGAGATCTTAGAGCTGTTCTGTGAATTTGTTCTTGCACGCGTTCCAATTCTTGAAAGTCAAAGGTAAAGTTCCCTGATCACATGGATTTGTTTTTTTTTTGAGAAAAGTTAACTGAGAATTTTATTCAAAAAACAGGTATACGAGAAGATGTATTAAGAGTCAGAAACAGAGTTACACAGTCAAAGATGTATCACGAAACATAAATTCTTTATGAGCTCCAGATTTGGCTAGGCTGTCAGCTATTGTGTTTAGGTCCCTAGGAATCCAAACCAGCTTCACATTCAATGAGTCCAAACTCCAAAATATCTCTAGCCTCAGTCAGCAGATGTGCAACCCTCCAAAGCCCTCCGTCCTCCCTTAGCCAATTTACCGTATTTGCAGAATCACCTTGGATGGTTAGAAAAGGACAGATCTAACATTTTAGCATAACGAAGACCTCTGAGAGCGGCCAAGATCTCTGCCTTAGTAGCATCAGCCCTCCCAATAGGACCACTAAAAGACAACAGATGTTGCTCCCTCTCTCACGGATTACTCCTCCCAATAGGACCACTAAAAGCACAACAGATGTTCCCCCCTCTCCCATTGATTATTCCAATTCTCACTTGTTCTGTGGATCCTTGAACACTGCCATCAAAGCTTAGAATTGTCAGTCCCTCCTCCCTAATACAAAGTCTTTGAGTTAAACCACTCCAAGGAGAGGAGTAGAGTACTTCTAAATTTATTTGAAGATCATTTAAAGAAAAACCTTTAAGAACATCAGAATTAAGAGCCCAGATGTTGCATAAAAAGGTAATATCGGAAATCAGATCTTCAATATTTCTATTTTTGTTTTCAAAGGTCCTGTTATTTCTTTCTTCCCAAACGCTCCACAACACAGCATGAGTCACTGTGCTTCATTAGAGTTTACCTCTTCTTCCTTACTCATTGCCATGCCACTGTCGTAGAAGATCCAGAACCTTCTCAGGAAACACCCATCTGCAGCCCACTAAGTTGAGGAAGAAACACCAGAATTGTGCCTACCTGATCCAGAGTGGTAGTTTTCTTCATGCCTTTTGGCACGCTATTACAGCACCATCATGTTAAACCTTTCTGACTTTCTTGATACCTTCTAAACTTCTAGGCACCTAAAGAATGCCACAAGTAAGTTATACTCTAAAAAAGTGGCAAAGATACTTAAATGTCTATGCACTTGGAAAGTTATAAGCTACAAATATAATGGGAGCAGAGACAGCAAGGTACATGAGTGTACATATTAACCAGCAAGTTATACTCTAAGAAAGGTTAGCAATCTGATGCAAGGACCACCCAAACAATAACTAATTGTGGTGGATTGGAATGAAAAGGGCAATGACAGCCAATTTTGGATTAAATATTGTTAAAAGGAGACTTGTTACTAGAGTCCAAAAAAAGGGAAGCAAGAAGGGAGTTAAGTGTGAAGCAGTGTTTTAAAATGCATGGGGCCTCCAGGTGAGGCGCCGCCAAAATGCCCTGAGGTGTTGACACCTCTGAGCACCTGAGGCGTATGCCTCATACACGTTTTTCATGAGGCGTGCTAGAGGCATACTAGCATACACCTCATGCACCTCATGCACACCTCATGTAAAAAGACAGAAAAAAAAATAAAAAAAAAGGAAATGATAGGAAAGGGAAAGAAAAAGAAAGAAAGAGAAGAAAAGAAAGAAAAGAAAAGGGGAGACCCCCCCTTTCAGCTAGTGTCATGCATCTTATTCTTCTTAATACAAAAGATTTTTATTAAAAATAAAGAAAAATGGGATCCTTCTTCCTCTTCTTGGCGAGGCACCCCCAAAATGCCTTGAGGTGTACATTCATACACTTTTGCTGTAGGCATATTGGTGTATGCCTCGTGCGCCTCACACACCTCATATAAAAAGATAGAAAAAAAAAGAAAGAGAAAGAAAAAAGAAAAAAAAAGGAAAGGAAAGGAAAGGAAAGGAAAGGAAAGGGAAAGAAAAAAGAGAGAAAGAGAAGAGAAGAAAGAAAAAGGGAAGAGGAGGGAAGTGCTTTTGGGGCTCAGTTCTAAATAAATGTAGTGGGGAGAGATAGCAGGGGCTATGTTCTCTAGAGATGTATTGAGTATAACAGTCTGTATATAAATCTTTTACTTTTATTAATAAATTTTTTCCATTATCATCAAAATAAAAAATAGATAAGGCTACTGGAGTCAGCACTGGTGATTTTTCTTTAAGTCAGCACCCACTGATGGAGTCAGCACTTTCAGAGAGCTTGGAGTTAGCACCTATAATTAATACTCACATAGGTGCTGTATCATATTGGATATTTCAAAATTTAGTGTAAATTTCGTATCTGATACCATATCCAGCTGTGTCCTTGCTATATCCAGTTAACATAGGTTAGCACCAAACCAAAAATGTTTTAGAACTAACTCAATTTCCATTCATCATCTCAAAAGAATATTTACAAGGATATTTATAGATTACACCACATTTATTTTAGATCTACAAGATATTTTTTTTCCTAACAAGTGCAACTAAACATGAAATATTTGCTAAAATAAAAAACATTTAAATCTAAATAAATATTAAAAAAATATTTTCATTATCTTTCAAATTTTTAAGATGCAATCAAGTCTTTAATTTGATTGAGAGAATTTTAATCAGCATATGGAACTCACTTGTGTTGAATAATAAATTGTTAGAACTGCTGGAATGGTTCTAAGCTCATGGAATTTGGGTTCAACTGAAACTTACAGGGGTTGAATTTGTTGGTGGAACTTTAAGGCCCCTAGTGTTAAGTTGGGTTAACATGAATTGGAGGTCTATGCAGACCTAGGGAAAATAATGGTTTACTTCCCTTTTCATAGTCACTATCTCTGCATCAGGGGATAAGAGAGATTAGAAATTCAAGGGGATCCCCAAGTTATAATTAGGATGGATGACTGGTAAAGGGGAGCAGGAAGCAAGATCTTTGGCATGTAGCTTGAAAACTTCACTTAGTTGCATCCACAACCTCACTCAGCTCAACAAAGACTTATCCCAATTTTACGTGATTGGCTACATGTATCCTGTTTCATCATTTCACTCTATCTAGGGCTTCATCTGTGGTTAAATTATGATCTTCAAACGTAAAAATGGTGCTTTCCAAGCTCAGTGAAAGTACTTTTAGAAGAATGGCAGGTTCTAGGAATGTCCAAGAAAAGAAAATACTGTTGGTCCAGTTATTCCAATTGCAGTATTGTGGGCCATCTATTTGAGAGGAAAAATAGAACTTTTGAGCAGAAGTCAACCACTGAAGCTAGGGTGATTAATTTTGCAGTTAAGGAACTTAGAAACTGGTTGTCTATACATGATGCATATAATGATGATGTTTTTCTGCTTCTTTTTTCGGGGAGGACTTTTTTGGGGCCCTTAAAAAATGGAATATACATGTACAGAGGACCATTCATATTTTGATTTTAATACAATGTACATAATCTTTTCTGAAAAAAAAAAGATCTTTAATCATTATCACCATCACAGCCCGTGACATATTCTTTTAGGTCTGCCCTTAAGTCACTATGCCTGTATTAAAATGCCGCATATTGCTTTACGGAATGCCCTAACATGATCTTAAAATAATGATTGGGGATTCTTGTTCATAAGGGTTTAGCAAAAGGCTTTTTACTGGCACAGACAGGAGATGCCTTCAACACAGCTTGGGAGAGGCCTTGGGGATCCTTGGTAGCTAAAGCTTTGCCAGTTTGCCTAGGGTTACCTCTGATCATTGTCCTATCAAATTAGGATTAGAATCCTTTGTCACTGGACCTAGACCTTTTAGGTTTGAAAATATGTGGCTAACCCACCCAGATTTTGTGAATAAGGTGAAAGAGTGGTGGGGGTGAACTGGAAGAGGGTAAGAAACTAAATAGATTAAGAACTAAGATTAAAGAGTGGAATAGGGATCACTTTGGGAGATTGGAGGAACAGAAGATGAGTTTGATCACTCAGATAGAAGGTTTGCATGAGAAGGAATCCCGAATTATATTGTTTGAAAATGATAGAGAAATGAGAAAACTACTAGAAAGGGATCTTGAAGAGGTGCTCTTGAGAAAGGAGATCAGCTAGAGGCAGAAATTTTTATTAATAAAATTTTTGTTACTGATAAAAAAAAGAGGGTGACGGGAATACTAGATTTTTTCATGACTTGGCAAATGGAAGGAGGAAGAATTTTGTGACTAAGTTAGAGTTAGATGAGGAGGTGATAACCAACCAGGTTGACACAGCTAGGATCTTTGTGTATCACTTCAAATCAATTTTTATATGGCATTTGAATGAGAGTAGTAGCGAAGGATTGGATTGGCCAAGGCTGGATGATGATGAAAGGGTAAGGTGGTTGGAAAAGGGGTTTTGAGGAAAAAGAGATAAAGCAAGCAGTCTATTTAATGGACAGGTCTACCAAGATTGCTGGGAGGTGCTGAAAGATGACTTCTGTGATGTTTTTAAGGAATTTGCAGATAACCACATAGTAAGCCCTGGAGTTAATGACACTTTCTTAGCTCTTATTCTTAAGAAAACTGATATTAACCACCCTAAAGATTTCAGGCCAATTAGTTTGATGAGAAGTGTTTACAAAATCCTAGCGGAAGTGCTTTTCTTGAGGATTAAAGAAGTTCTCCCCTCTATTATTATCTAAGCCCAAGGGGCTTTCATTCATGGGCGACAAATAACAAACCAAATCCTAATTGCGAATGAATGTGTTGAGGAGATGAAAAGAACTAAACAAAGGGGTTTTGTTTGTAAATCGGACCTTGAAAAGGCATATGATTTGGTGGATTGGCAGTTCCTAATTGAGGTATTGAGAAATTGCGTTTTGGGGATAAGTGGTGTAAATGGATGTTTGGGTGTATCAATTCATGTCACTACTCAATTTTGGTCAATGGTGTGGTAAAGGACTTCTTTCCAGCTTGCAAGGGCCTAAGGCAAGTGGACCCACTTTCACTATTCCTCTTTACACTAGTAGCCAATGTATTCAGTAGAAGCATTACCAAGGCTGATAGGGAAGATGTAATTAAGGGTTGGAGAATAGGGAAGGAATCAAGTCTCAG